GTCTAAATTAAGTTGAATTAATGGTTCCTTTTTCCACATATTGTAACCGGTTGTGCTTATGATTAAAAAAAAAATAATTATGTGATCGGTATCTGTGATCGACCCTCATGGGTGATTGGAATCGGAATCAGCAGGAAAAAACCTGATCGGTACATCTGTAGTTATCACAATAACACAGTATACCAGATATTTTGAAATGTGACCTGAGTCTGTACAGCCAGGTCACATGTATCTTCCAACGTATATAATTTGGAAATTTTTCACATTTATAAAAGTTTGACAGTAAACTCCTTGCAAAAGTTCTGTAAAACTAGTTAAATCAAACCTTAAAGATCTTTGCACTTTCATTAAAAGATTTTCAAGAAGCTTTGTTTAGGTTTTATTGGACTGCATGTTAAAACTTTGACATGCAGTACTCCACCCTCACCTTGCTTATGTCCTCCCCTTTGTCTCTCTGTTGCATCAGCTGGACAATCTGTCCATTCCTCACATAGCTGTGTGCTCTCCACCTGGGATTGGCAACAGCACAACCGCATCAGTAAACAGTGCAGGACAGACGTGGCATGAGTGACCACCTCTGGCGTCAAAACACCTCCACCACAATTGAAGGTGTTTGCTCGCACCCATCACTGTTGGGTGGAAGACCTCCTGTGTTGACACCACTTGCTCCTGGAGTGTGTGCACACTTTCAAAATTTCTGCTGAGCAGTCCAATCTACGACTGGTTTACAGCTTTTATGCAGAATACAGAGAAAACGATTTAACAAGATCTGCTGCAAGATCCAACAGATCTTGGAGTATCTGCTGCCATCACCTGGTTCTTTGTGGTCCAAAGCTCTTCCTTCAACAGAATACACAGATGAAGAAAAGATAAGAAAAGAAAAGAAAAGACAAGACGAGACATAGACTCCAAGATAAGAAGAGAAATATAAGACCTTCAGTTTAAAGTACTACGACTGCGGGATTCCAGCAAATGACATCAGCAAAAGTTCTTTGTTGAGAAGATGAATTCACAAAAATGCAATAGTGATATTGAGTCTGACCCAACTTACAGCAGATCTGTCATATTTTAGTTGTTCAATGAAGCTACATTTTTGTTTCCACAGCTTGAACAAAACTGGTAATATAGAAAACAACTAATCACTGAGGTAAAAAAAACTGTTGTGGGTTAGATAATGCCATGGGTGAAAAACAAGAAAGGAATCCAAATGTTCGTCAGTCTTGCTTTCAGCAGACTGTGCTGTAAAACGACCTCCTTCCACTCTGTTCACTCCAAATCAAAACCTCCCCTCCTCCAACAAAACGAGGGACATTCATACACACACAGAAGGGTTGCAGAAGGAGCTGAACTAGGAGCATAATCTGTCTCACACAGAGAAGCGAAAGGAAAGTTTAGAAAGACAACTCAACCATGTTTACTCATAAAGGAAAAAGAGTCACATGCAGAGAAGTTAATGCTTTAATGTGAAATGCAGATATGAATGCATGTGGATAGACTGTGACCGGGGATCCACCAAAGATCTCCAGTGATAACAGAGAGGATTCCGTACAGCTCCACCACCGGCCAGATGGGAGCAGCACAGGAGAGCTTGGGCAAGTTAAGCACAGACAGCAGTTTGCCAGTCCCTGTGATTTATGTCAATGCATGAATGAAGGCCAGATCTTGTAAATTCCAAACAACAACATCTCAACTACTGAAGTGGACCAGTGTGCATGTTGTCTGTTATCAAAAAAACTCTGCAGGTCTGGTCAACATTCTGTCAGTTACAGTGAAACAGTTCATTTAATTTTATTTCAAATAAAGACAACCTTGTCTGATTCCTCTTAAGAAGAAAAAGAAGACTTTTCATCTTAGTGATTTTGTACTTGCTTACTTGAGTTTGAAAGTGAGCCATCATTGGTGTCATCTTATAGCTGCTGCATTGTGCCTGCAAGCTTTTTTGTACGTTTTTGACTAAATTAAGGTAATTTTATTGTTCTTTTATGCTGGATCACATACCCATTTATACCTAAATTAAAAAATTAACAATCTATGTAATCTGTACTGGTGATCAACAGTGATCGCTACTCATGGGTGATCGGCATCGGATAAGTATCAGAAGCATAAAACCTGATTGGAGCATCCATAGTAAAAAACATGTTTGTAAATTACATACTGTAGCTTTAAAGAAGAATGTGCCAAAATGTATCTGTAACAAAGACAATGATTAACTGAAGAAGACATGTTTGTGGTACATTAGAGACTATTCGAACCTACCCAGGACAGAAGGGACAGAGAGGAATGAACAAGAACTGAGACAAATAAAGAAAAATAAACCAATTGAGGAAAAAGGGGCCTCTCTAAAATCTGAGCATGAGTGGACATGCTGGAGCCCTCTCACAACAATGATTATGTTTTGAGAACTAGTGAATAGGGTAGCGGCAAAGAGCAAGAACTGAGAGTGGGGATCCCCACATGGTAATGTTTAGGAAAGTGTCTCAAATGAACCCTGGAAAGAAGAAAGAGGTAAGGCAGGACAGGAGTTAAATTTCATTGGTTACTCTCTCACGAATGGGCACAAAGATGATCGAAGGAAGGGTTAGAGGTCGTCAAGATTTTGTGGAGGGTGCAGATCTAAATCCCACAGCAAACACAAGAGCAAAACAGAGCTGTTTTATCAGTCCCTGTCTGGTGTACTCAGAAATATACTCCATCATGATATTAATTTTTTAAACCACTATAAGGGGTTCACAATCAAACCCCTTATAGTTTGATTAAGACATATTTCTATCAGAGGCTGTTTGTGGCAGCATGAGAGGGAAGCATGGGGCCTTAATGTTGAGAGTATTTCTTTGCTACTGACCGACAGAAAAAACAGTCCTACCATTTCTCTTGGCCAGGTGAAGACTGAGAAGGGGAGAGGAGGGCAGTGAGCGAGTAAAGCCCTTCATCATCCTGATGTCTGTGGCGTCCGAATCAATGCTGCTGTCATCTGTTAGTCAGCAGAAAACCAGTCAGAAAGGAAGCACAGTCAGCTGGATAAAAATTTGAAGACTTAGACAAAGAATCCCTGCCCCAACACTCTTTAAACAGCTGAATTACCAGGTTGGAATGTCAGCAAGTTTTGCAAAAACTATTCATTTGAATCAGGTATGTTTGAATAGGGATGTATCCAAAAGTGTCAGAAGAGTGGCACTCGAAGACTGGAGATGCCCATTCCTGACAGATTTATACCAAAGAGGAACAGAACTGTCATGATGTGGTGAATGAGAGGTGGTGAGGATGAACGCTAAATCCCAATAAAACACTGTGAGGTTTGTGACAGTCACTGGAAATTGTGACAGACAGCAACATCTGAACAAAGTAAAAGATGGTGGATATACAGACCGTTGTTCAGCTTGCGACTCCTGCTTCCAAGCAGCATCTTCAGGCTGTTTCGGAACATAGTTGCATATTAATACGTTTCCTGCTGATAGTCCCTGGGGAAAAAAGGACAAAAAGCTTTTCTGATTGGGTTCAAGAACTGACTGACATCTTAAAAATCATGCATTTTTTAATCACAGTAGCTTAATTTCAAATTAAATACATTTCCATTATGCAAATGTGTATTATAGTTTTGAGTTCTGTACAACCAGCAAAGACAAACCATTAGAAGATCCCAAAGAGAAGATATTGCATTAATACCCAGGGTTTCCCCAAGAGCTATCAAAGCTACATAAATTAAATTTCTACCAATTTTGGAACCAAAATTGAGGTCATCGCCATAATTATGTTACAGCGATGACTTCCCGTAACATAAATACTCATTAATTTATGCATGCCGAAACCATTACATCAAACTTAGCAGCCTTGATAATCTCAATAAACAAATGTTACATTTATGTATCTGTGGTCTGTGTTAAAATATCATCATTTATGGGGCCCCTGTAGCCCTGGTGGGCCTTATGGAGCAGCTGACTTAATTTGGATTAAACAGAAGTGCAAATAATTTGATATTCAATTTAATTGTATTTTTCAATTTGTTGTTTTTAAAACTTGTGGGTTTACATAGCATTACCCTGGTGATGTTTTCCCGCAACTACCCAGTAATATTTTTACTTTTCCTGCCTACTTAGCATGTTTTAATACAAAAACACAGTGAACCACAGTGAACTCTACCTTGGTGCCCCGACCACCAGGCTTAGCAAGTTTTCTGGGACAAGCAGACATTCTCCCATAGAATGGCAGCTAGCACAGTTAGCGAGAGGTTGCACAATCCAAGGTGAGGCTCAGCTGGCTGCTGCCTCACCAGCTTCGCTTCCGTGCATTTGAATGGCCTTGCCACATGTGCCTGGGGTTTGCCGATTCATGGAAAACTTTCTGAATTTTCTGATCATAGGCATATTTTTCAACTCTGATGGCGTGGTTTACGTTGGCTCTGGATGACCTGAGCACGTCTCTGTCCCCACATTTCAAAGTAGAGTTTCATGCTTTCAGCATCTCAAACACCTCCTTTTTCATCCAGGGTTTCTGATTTGTCCTTGTGATGATGGTTTTTGGCTGCTAAAATCTCCACTTTCTCAGTCACCAGACAACTTTTATGTGTTTGGTGGTGGGCAATTAGTATAAAGTGGGTCTCATCTGACTTTTTTCTTCTTTACTGAACATCTGTCATGCAGCTGTTGTGTTTGAAGGAAAGCTCTAATGTGAGTCCTGAGACAGGATCAAATCAACAAAGCTCCTGGAAAGTTCTGGAAAGTTAAAGAAAGCCACATATTGTGATGAATATTCTGTTTTCAGAAATATTTTCTGGTCATTGAACATAACCATATAAAATCATGTTGCTTAAGTAAATATACTAATGTACTAAGTATATATATATATATATATATTTCAGGATCTAATTTACAAAGCAAATAAAACTTGAGATGCAAACATGGCCATCAAGTCCGTCAGATGTGAGAAATTTGAACTTTATTTGTATAAGGTTGTAGGTGTCCTTACCTCACAACACAGATTTGACCTTCCACCACAATATGAGAGACAGAGAGAGAGATCAGCGATAGCCTGAACTGCCAATTCTAATTTTGGCCGATATTAACTTTTTGTGTTTCTGAAATGTTGCTAAATATAGCAAAGAAGTCACTGAGATGGCAACAGTGGGATCACTATTGTT